ACCCCCCCACTTTGTTGGGGGGTCGCCGCGCCATGCGTTGAAAGAAGGTCCATTTTCTTTTTGGGGGGGGGGGGCAGACTAAAGACAGTGCAACATTAAGACTCTGAAGCCGCGAGACCTAGAAGGCTCCTCAAAAACACGCCAAAATGCCCTAAAAACCCCAGATTGCGCCGCACGGCCGAGAGAGGCGCGCCTTTCCACGAAGAGGTCTTCAATGCCTTTGAGCTCGTGGTCACGCTCGGGAAGCCTCAGCTTGCGAGGGGTGTTGCTCTTAGGGGAAGTGTGCGCTGAGGAGGCTTCGGGCAAATTTGGACTTCCACCACTTGGGTCTCTGTTATAATACACTCTTGATAGTTTAGGGTGCCCAAGAAAACAAACTCACAATCAAGCTGAAGTCCCCCTTCGTGTGGCTCGTGGCCTAAACCCTAAACCCTAAACCCCGGGCTTTTGAGCGCTTTCTGCTTTCGAAGCCTGGTGGCCCTGCAGGCAAAAACCCCCCAAAGCACTACCAGCTGCTCAGACCTGTGAAAAAAGGGGAACCCTTTCTTACTGGTGTTGAGCAGAGTGTAGGGCTTGGGGCTTGGGGCTTAGGGTTTAGGCAATGATGTACTTAGGTACCCCTTGCTGAATCTCTTCAAGATTTTTTACGGCGGACCGAATTCCCTCAGTCCCTACGAAGAACCAAGAGGCTCATTTCCGCAGCTGCTCAACTTTCTTTCATGGGCGGGTGGGGGGGAGGCTTTCTCAGAGCACCCAACCCTAGGAAAGGAGACCACTGGAGGGCTCCTGGGGGGGGGGGGGGTGGGGGGAAGTTCAGGGTTTGTGAGGATTCTTTTTTTGACACTCCGCCTCTCTGATCAAGCCGACCACACCGCAGGGAACAAACTGGGGGAAACCTATTCTCTCATCAGCTGGCCACACAAAATCAGCAAAACATTAGCCACCCTGAGCCTCCACAGCCCGTCACAAACCCAGACTCTACCGCATGCATACAACCATGTGTGAAACCTGGAAGCCATTTTTTCCCTCAACCCTAAACCCTAACCCCACTGGCCTGAGTAGGGGCACCTCGAACATGGCATGGTGAACCACCCTCCCTCCCCCCCCCCTCCCCCCCCAAACCTTGCTTCGGTTTTCGAGTTTTTAGGAGCCCCTCTTGCCATATCCCTGGCGCACTCGGAGCTTCATACTTCTTTAGGGCGCATCGGCCTTGAAAGCACCCCTCCACCTTGACAAGCTCTGAGTCCAAAAGTAGAACACCACCACATGATGTGGGGGTTGATCGGGTTTCCCTTCTTTGATACCCTCAACTCATGCTGCAACTTGACGCAAAAACGCTTGCACAACATGTCGATCAGCCCACTCTTGCAGATTCGAGTAGCCCGACGCGGTCTGCCAAGCTCTTGAGCCTTGGAATGCTGTGGACACAGGGGGTTGCGTGGAATATGGGCGCTTTTTGTACCCCCAAGCTGGCAGTCTCAGGAGTTCGGGGCTGGGGTGTTTTGGCTTGGGCGGACCAGTCTCTTGGCAGGAAAGAAGCTCTGCACGAAACTAATTTCTAAACTCGCAAGCACTCCCCCAGGGCGCCCCCATACCCCTCAATCTAGGAATTCAGTGGGGTGCAGCGGATTGCAACACTGACTCTGCTCTTTTGCTCTCCCAAATCACCCAACAGGACAGGAATTCAGGAAAGCATCTAGGATCCCAATTTGACGTTTAAAGGCACCTCGATCTTAAAGGGGTGTTGGGCTGCCTGGGACCTTGGAGCTGGGCCCCCTGCCGCTTTCGCAACTCCATCCGCGCGGGGTGCGAGACGTCCTGCAAGGTCGAGGGTTCGCACCAGATAACACTGATGACCCTCATGCCAGGCAGAGGATTTGAGCTCTTGTCCGGCTTTATTCCGCGACATTTTAACCAGTTGCAGTATCTCACAGAAGACCATCAATACTCCATCTGTTGTCTGCCACCCTTACTTTTGCTCTTCTGCAGGACATGCGAGGGCAAGTGGAAAAGGTTGGGCAAGTTGGATGAGAAGACCCCTGGCCGAGAAAGAGACACACCCGCCACACACTCGTATACACAGCCCTATACAAACAACTGCTTCTTGGGCCTGAAGTCTTGCAAAGTACCAAGCTCATTTTGCTTGAAGGAATGTTGCGCGGCCTCTTTATAGGTTTCTTTTGCCGAGGTGGCTCTTTCGACCAATGTTCAAAATCTAATGTGCCATGCTGCTATGTCTAGAGGTGCAAGAGACATGGTAGTTGATCAAAATTCTGATTCCCAAAATAAGCCGATCTGCCGCTTGTGTAAACTCATGGGAACCCGAAGAAACTTCCATGAAGGACAATTCGATCAACCCCCCCCCCCCCCCCCCCCCCCCCAAATTGGGGTTTCCGAAATTAGGGTACCTTGTTGGGGTCCTTACTATCAGGGAATCCTACTAGTTGGGGGGTCGATATTCGGGGTCCCTTTTTTTGGTCAAGCCCCAAAATCGAAACAACAAATGCCGAACAGCCCGGGCACCTCGACATCCTCAGTGTCAGAAACGAACTCGTTGCGCCTCGACTGAGAAGTCTAATTAGAGGGGCCTGAATAATCCAGAATAGGGTTTTTGGGGGCTATTAGAGTATCATTACAACGGGACCCGAAGGGAAGGCGAGTAGTATGTATTTCGACCCCTATGTTATGGCCCCGGTGGCCTCGCCTCGTTCCTACTGGCGGTTCCCGAGTAAACGCACACCACGGTCATTGCTTAAGAACAGGTCTAAACAAGGGAAACATTTCAAGGGGTACTTGGCTTGGGGAGCGTGATAGCTGTAATTTTAACCCTGAGATCTCCGATGGTTCGAGTGTTCGGAAGCCCCTGAGTTGCTTGAAGGCACATCTTCCCTAAACCCTAAACTGGCCCTAAACCTTAAACCCTAAAACCCTAAAACCCTAAACCCGAGAAGATTTGGGCCAATTTTTGGGGCCCCCTGCTTTTCGGAACCCAAATGACAAACTCTAAGGGGCCTAACGCTTGGAACCCTAAACCTGAGCCGCCGAAACCTCATATGCCTCGGAATATGTGTCGGGCTGCCGTAAGGATCCGTGTTTCGGATTTACAGCGAAGTTCCTTAAGAGCAACCGCTTTCTGAGGGGTTTGGTGTTTAGGAAGTCGGTGCTGAAGATGAACATGAACAAGGTTAGGGCTTGCTTCTGGGATGCACAGGGTTTGGGGGCTTCAAGTGCATGCAACCGCGAACGAGCTTGCCGCGGTCCTCGGACTTCACCCGGGGGGTTCTTCTGAATTGCCAGTTTTTAGGTGCCCTAAACAACTCTTAAGGAACGTACTGATGAGGCCTCCCCCCCCCCCCCCCCCCCCTCCGCCCCAAAAAAAACAAAAAAACCAAAAAGTCGAACCCCACATGCATGAGAAGGAGCCCTGAAGAATGGGCTGCTACACCCTGCTTGAAGTATCCCTTCTGAGTGCGTGGGCCGAAGGCGTTCATCGGAGGGAAACCTGCCAAGAATGAAGGTGCCAGGTGTGAGGTGTACAAGAGACTAGGATAGTCCCGAGAACCCTCCAAAAAACATACAATCCTCTTGAACCAGAATGCCCCAAGGGCCTACCTAGGAAAGGGCTGGGCGGTTCGGGTCGGGCAAAAGCTAAGGCTTTCGAGACTCTTCAGACATTTCAGTCCATGAGTACTTTTCAGTGGGATTGTAAGTGCCCGAAAAACGAGGCGATGATCGACGATAGCCTTAATGGGTGGCTTAGGAGGTTGGGCCTCCAAAGCCCAAGCCCTAGTCACAAGGTTTCGGATCGCGGCTGGGCCCGGCAAGGATAGAGCGCAGCACGTGCTGGCGGCAGAGGGGAAGGTTGCTGAGACAGAGCCGGCTGATTGAGACCGAAATCGGTGGATGAGATCCAAAACTGGGCACTGGGTTGTAGGCCGAAGGTGCCCTCCCCGTGGTCACTTCCCCACATGACCGCAAGAACGACCCCCCGAAGTATGCAGATCGCAGCACGTGTCTAGAAAATGAAGCGGGAACGGCCACAAATCCAGACGTAACCCAATTTAAAGACCCCCCAAGTCCCCAATGTGGGTGACTAGAGCAAGGACCAGTTAATTCATTCATGATTGGGGGATAGAGGCCCACCGAAGTGTCCGTACGGCTTCAAGTTGGTCACTTCGGGATGTTAACAACTTCTTATGTAAAACATCGCACATCGGCAGGCGAAAGGCACTCTTCGCAAGGGGCAGGAGGGTTGGGTTGTGGCGATTGGGATGGACACAGCTGACTTTCTGAACACACATGCTCCATGCTGAAACCTTTAATCTTAAACCCGAACTGTATGGCTCGAAACTGTCTCTCTTCCTGTCGCTGTCTGAGGCCGCAGCTGTCGCAACCACTGGTTCAAGTGCTTCGCAAATCGGGCATAGCTGTCCTCAACATGCTTGAGGCGCTGGGGCTAACTCTCGCCTCCGCAGCAGTACTCAGCTGAGGTGCACATCCGCCTATCTACTGCAAGCAAGACGCAGCATTCCCAAGCTTCCGGAGTCGTGAATGAGAGAACTGCGCACTACGAGCCAACACGACTAGGAGATCGACCTGAAATGGTATACTCTTGTTCTCTACTGAAGACTCTTCCTTTTTGCGGAACCGAAAAACCAACGAAAAAAGATGCTGAACAAGGACGCACGGAGCCCAATACCCCTGAATCCGAGGGAAATATCCCTAAATAAATACCCCTTTGTGAGCATGCATAGAGGACATTCCTTGATCAAGAGGTTGGGCGGCTAGGGCGCAAACAGTCCATGCATCGGCATCTGAACCCTTTTGGGAAAGCCTTCAGCCAGCAAGCGCAGCCGAACGCTTTTCTTCCCTGTCCGAGACCAGCGTTGTGCTACGTGGAACTTTACAGCGAAGAAAGTCTCGCAACAGCCTAACAAAATCTGAAGGGTCCATGTGATCTGGACCCTTTGGGAAACCCGCTGGGGGAACGAAATGCGGGGCTAGGGGGAAGCCTTCCACAGCGTTCCCTCCTCCCAGTCCGCCATCGGGATGTGCTGCAGCTTAGGCTCGGCCTTCAGCGCGTTGCGCATGATCTCGAAGTCTTGCTGAGGGTTGGGCGACCCCGCTGCGGAACAGTAGAGTCTTTTGCTCTGCCCGTCCTTGGAGGTGTAGTCGATGGCAAAGGCGCCTTTCATGAAGATGCCACGCTGGTAGCCAAAGAGCATGAGGCCTGGAAGAATGCACCCCACCGTACGGGGAGGGGATGTTTGCACCAAGTTCCTGGTGTTGCCATCCCTGCGCAGGACAGCCACTTTCTGCACACCCACCTTGAAGAACATGTCGCCTGGTCCGGCGTCGCCGACCCTGAAGATTTCTGTGCCGTCCTCTTCGAAGAACAGGTACGCCATGGCCTTCTCCTGCATCTCGATAGCCTCCTGCTGGCACAACTTCACGATCTCCTCAATGAGGGCACCCATCTCATGCTGTGGCACTGCTGCCATGGCGGGTGAAAAGGCCAATTAGACTTCTTTCTGACCACCTCTGATAGCTTGAGCAAAAAATTTGCCTGGGCATGGACATCTGCAATGTAGACTTCAAGCGTCGGTCCGATAAAAAAAGCAAAGCCCGAACAGCGCTTTCAAACAACTATCTATGCTCGAGCCACTTGAGTCCCTAAGCTCTTGTTGATGCAGAAAAGATCAACAAAACCCATTTACATCTCCTAAAACAAGGCTCTCGAAAGAAGGGGTGGAACATCTCTCTTTCTTGTGTGGATTTGACCCACCCTCCGTGGTCTGCTCATGTGATCCTCTTGTCAGAACTCACATGGGGATGTCCGAAAATAGGGGTACCGCTTCTATACCCCAAAATACTATCTTATCCTTTTAAAGGAACCCCCAAATACTATACGATCCGTTTAAAGGAATCCCCCCAATACTGTATAATCCTTTTTTCGGAGTAATCCCCCAAAATACTCTGCCATCCTCTCAAAGGAACCCCCAAAATACTATATAGTCCCTTTAAAGGAACCCCCCAAAAAAGGGCACCCATGGCCCGTGAGGGGGCTCTGGAGGATGTCAGGAGCCCTATTTTTTGCATGAGCGACGCGTGCATTGAAGCTGAGCATCTCGTGAACATGCCAACGAAGAATAAGGTCGGAGTGATGATTTTAGGGTTTTAGGGCTCTGCTTTAGGGTTTAGGGTTAGCCCTAAGCCCTAAACCCTTTTTTGCTGCCGGGCTGTTGCAGTAAGCCGGGTTATGCCCTAAACCCTAATTGCCAAACGCAGCTGCCGCGATGTGTGGGGCATTGCATTGCGGGACGCTGAAACCCTCGGTGTGAATTTGGCGGGGCAACGTTGATTCGGTTTAGAGAACGAGAAAAGGTCTGAGTCTCTAAATCCCTTCCCAAGCCCTAAACCCTTTTCCCTGAACCCTGTCCCTTTGCCGGTCCTTGAAAATCCCTTCCCAAGCCCTAAACCCTTTTCCCTGAACCCTGTCCCTTTGCCGGTCCTTGAACCGCGACCGCGGGTCCGCGTAGATTTCTTGCGGGCTTCGCCTTGTTTCGGATTGCTTGGCTCATGGAGGGATCTGCTTTCTTCTTCACATCGCGTATCTACACAAGTCTATAACAATCATGGAGGGCGCCATTCAATCACGCGCCTGGTGGCGGAGCGCTTGGAGCAACAGGCTTTCTGAACTAGGTTATTGCTCAGCAACCTAGGACCTAGGATTAAAAAGGGTGCCCTTTTAAGCTTCACAGGGTTATAAGGGAACTCTAGGATCAAAAAAGGCGTCCTTTTGCTTAAAGGGGTCTATAAGGGAACCTTACCCTTCCCCCAAAAAGGGAAAAGAAGGGAACTGCCGGCCATCCTCGTGAAGCTCATTTGTAAGCAGCCGCGACCGAGGGCGCTGCTGTGCCCGCGGGTCCTGAGGCTCAAAGCTCACGACCTCGAATGTCCCAGGGTTCAGGGTTCAGTTGGGGTTCAGGGTTGAGGGTCTCCTGAGCCTTTAGCCTCCAAGGAAAATGACAGAGCAAAGGTAGGTACGAGGATCACATAAGCTAGTCCCCCCCCCAGCCCCGCTATGCTGGGACATGCCCCTCTTATTCGGGGGGGAAGCCCCTCCAGTTTGTCACGCCACAAGTTAAGGGGCGGGGATCTTGTTCCAGCTTATCGGGATTCGTCATTTTGGGAAGCTGACTCTGTGCTGGGGTCCTCGAGCCGTCAGTTCACTGCAGCAGGACTTCTTTTCTTCAATTAAGGGCTGATCTCTAGAAGGGGCGCTTAATCTTATTCCCCTATATAATCCAAATATAGTCCCTAACCCCTAAGGTCCCTTGTAGGGGTCCCTCCTTTAGTCCCTTGATTCAAGCAGTGGCCTTTTTCCACATCAGCCGAGCCCTGAGCCCACGGTGGCCCTAAACCCTAAACCCTAAACCCTAAACCCTAAACCCTGAACCCTGAACCCCAGAAGCGGAACCGAGAAGTGCTCCGGGTTCCCGGGCAGAGGCGCCGATGCGGGTGGTGAAGAACGGCACGTGCCCTCCCGGAGTCGAGATTCAGTCTACCACTTGCTTATGGGCTTAAGGCTTAGGGTTTAGGGTTTGGGGTTTAGGGTTTAGGGTTAGAAGAGCCCCAAACCATAAACGATAACAATCCTGAAATGGGGACTGCCGAAATTGGGGTTACCTTATTGGGGTACTTGTTTTGCAGGAAGCCCTACGATTTATTTGGGGTCTATTTTTGGGGGTCCCCTATTTTCGTAAACGGTCATACAAGATAATCATCCCCATATTCCCGCTAAAGGCAAGAGTATGCTTCATGTTATGTTTTTTCTTCAGATTCTTATGCCAATCGTATGAATCTTGAGGGTTGAGGGGTGTTGTTCGGGTTTCCTTCGAGGCTGGCAACTTTCACGCAACACCTGGGAATGTGCCCCTGTGCAGCCGCTTCCCTTTCCCACTCCCATGGCGGAGGGGGGGGGGGCGGACTGGACTTGGGCATCACACATCTCAGCTGGCCATGGCTCGGGGAGTTTGACCCCTTTCGAGGCGCTCTTGGCCGTAGAGTACAGGTTGTCCAGGACACCGGGATGCTGGGGTTCCAAGGTCTTAGGGTTTATTTAGGGACCATTTCAAGGTTGATCTAGGGGTTATTTGGGGTTTTTCTTGGGTTAATTTAGGGCTGCGGTTGGGCTACTTTTCTTTGGCAGGAGCATGTGGGGGGCTTGGGCTGGGGCGCTGAGGAGCCGGGGCACGCTGCGGCACTCTCATCCCTGTTGAAATGATAGGGTTTAGGTTTAGGGTTTAGTGGAGACTCCAACGTAGGCCAGGCCCGCCCCACATGTCAGTGCCCTGAGAGTACAATACCCCCTTAATTCCTGAATACATCAAAATCATAAGGAGGACGACCCCTAACAAGGTTTAGGGTACATGAACTACTTGAGGCTTGAGGGATATTGGGCTCTCTGGGAAGTTAGGTTCGATGTCAACTCTTCTGGGCCAGAACCCCAAACTTTTGCAAACCCCAAGCCCCAAACCCTACAACCCTACAACCCTACAACCCTAAGACCCTAAAACCCTAAAACCCTAAGACCCTAAAACCCTAAAACCCTAAAGCCCTAAAACCCTAAAGCCCTACAACCCTTGCTGTTTTCCTCAGCCGGTGCCATCTTCCTCCAAGCGGCGGACCTGGCCGGCCAACCTCAGAGTTCGCGGTGTTCTCGGAACTACCAAAGCAGAGGGAGCCCACTCGCAGCCCTAGACCCTAAACCCTAAACCCTAAACCCTGAACCCTAAACCCTGAACCCTAAACCATCTTTGTTCGCTTGAGAAGGAGTCTTCCTGCTTTTTCGGGACGTTGGACTCCTCCCTGTGTTGGAAATCAGCTGCAGAAACTGGCTTTCCCACACAGCGACGCAGAGACGCAGAGACGGCCGGAGATGGGTCAATATCAAGACACAAAGGCAGACTAAAGACAAACTACACTTCTGAACCCTTTTAAGGTTTGGGGGTTTGTACAGGGTAAGGGTTATTTGAATCTCATGAGCCAGGACACATCGTACTAAGCCAGGATGTGGGACCTTCTGCCACTGCGGCCTCCTTCCACGCCTGAAGTTGCCGACAGTCAGTCGTGGATGCAAAAGCTCCGCTTTTCTGAGAACCAGGAAGTAACTTTCGCACTGCGGGCTTCTCATGTGCATAAGTAAAAGCTTCCTAAGGATATGATGGGAAGGAGATGAAGCCTCTCTCGCAGTTCGGACTGCTGAAGCACACGACGGCCTTGTTGCGGCTGCCACATCCAAGCAAACCCGGCCTGCTGGGCACACTTGAGGGCGGCAGATCGGTTGGCCCCAAAATATTGGAGGCCCATGTGGTACCTCACTGGTCAAAGACGCACACCTCAACGCATCACCTTGGCTGCTTCTGACCGGAAGAGAAAGCCTCTGCCAGAATGCCCCCCAAGTTACGTGTACGTCTTGGCAGCGGCGTTCCCAGCCAGCTCCTCAAACTTCAAGCCCAGAGCCTCCCCCCCCCGTTTCCCTCTCGTTCCTTCGCCCTGTTCCCCCCCGCCACCTGATCCAAAAATATTCTTAAACGCCATGATGCTTTGCTTCAACGATAACATTGCCGGGGGTTTGGGGTGCTAATCTTCAGTGGAAGATGGCCATCCCTCCAATGCTGAGTTTGCTTGCGGAGCATTTCCAGGGTCCCCCCCCCCCCCCCCCCCCACCCCCACAAAGAAAGACCCATGACCCTTAAGTAAGGCTTTATGGCTTTACGGTTCTCCATACTTTATAATTAGGAGGGAGCCGTGAAGTGATGGGTCTTAGTGAAATAGAAGGTATTGGGGCCCTCTGGGTATATCATAGAAGGTGAGACATCACGAACTCCAGAACACAGTTTAAGCCCCCTAACCGCAACCCGGTATTCCACACACCTTTTTTCCCTGACCCATACTTATAGAGCCCAAACACCCAAGCCCTTCAACATCTCGATTTTCGAAGCACATCGTAAAAAAAACAAGATGCCCAGGAGTGGCTGTCCGAACCAAGGCCTAAAACCTACTCAGCCCGTTGTCTGGCATGTAACTTCTGAAGCCAACCCTTCGTCCCAAACCTTTTCCACCCCGAACGCCCCTCCCCCCCCAATCTCCTGGTCGATTAGCTCCTGAGGCTTTGGAAACTGTTCTGGGTTTTTGGGCTTTCGGCGTGAGTTTAACATTGACTATCTGAGCCTTGCGTAGACCCAAGGTTCGTCCACTGGCATTGTGGATAACATCGCCATTCAGGAACAGGAATGAAAAGCCCTACCACTACTTCTGAGGGCGGCGCGGAACAAGCCTACCACTGCGGATGAGGGCCTTGTGTAGGTTGGGCAAAAAGCGCAGTATTCTGCTCAATAACAGCGCTTCAAAAATTCATGGCGAATCCGACACTATCGCTACCTCTCTCTTTGGCTAGCACTTGCGAACTTGACTGGCAAAATCCTCAGCCACCCCC